TTTGGAACGAGTTCCCAATGCGCCCAAAATCTCTCACCCTTATCCACATGTCAATTTTGACTCAAATTCAAATTTCAATTTAAGTCAAACTTAAATCAATTTGAATTTCAGAATGGACAACTTATCAAATAAGTTAATTGGATAACTGTGGAGAGCAAGCCATTTGAATCCTAAAGGGATTCACACTGTGCTGTGCGTTCACACAATGTGAACACCTTCACATGTATGTTTCAAAATTCAAATTTAAATTTAAATAATCACATTATTTAATTTATAATTAGGTGAAATCCGTTAACCTCTCTAATTACAACTTTATCCTTGAATACCATTAATTCTCTAATGGACGGTGATTCATAAAATAAATTCATGTATCGGAGCGCTCCTACTGGTTCAAGTACCGAATCAACCCTCAAGAAAATTATTTATCTACTTTTTTCTCAAGAATGAATGGATTCCATCTCGTATAATAGCATACCTGGCTACTCACTTCATCATGTCTCTAAAATATAAGGAATATAGGTCAGGATCTCAGAATCCATACCGAGTAAATCAAAAAACACAAATCTATATATAGGAATCTACTAAGAACTCAAGATTAAGATCATTCTATATATGACCATCGATTGACTCAATTAGAATTTCTATACTTAACGAAAATTATCAGAAATTCATATTGTGTCAGTGTTATTCCACATAATCTCATTATGCGTAATACACTTATTCAATATCTCACGATATTAATAGTGCGAATAACACCGTTCCATTCTAAATGAGATTGACCTGTATTAGTAATGTTTTAATTAAAGATTCTAAACTTTAATTAAATTCATTACGAACATCGTTTTAATAATTATCCTTAAATATTATTCTCTCGCATATAACAATTATATACAATATTTAAGGTCACATAAAAAATCATGGAACTGTCGGTGATATTCATAAAATATTCATTAATATATGCACAAAAAATAATGAATAAACTCTTTTATTAAATAAATAATAAATATCCTATTACATCTCATGCTTTTAGGATACTATTCCCAACAATCGTTCGCTAGGTAATTAAATAAATTTGATTAATTTATTCATGCAGAAATTAATGTAATCTATAGAATATCTCAAAGTTTTATACAAATTTTTATTATACAAGATCCGCTTCATACACACTTCCGCATTTGAAATCATTTCAGAAACCAACATGTTAGCCCGCAAGCATACGGTGTCAAGTTTTGATAGTATAGGGTGAGTAAGTATGGTCTCCACAAGAATTGAGTATTAAATTGCCGCTAAGTACCGCAATTATCGTAACTCGACTTTATCTAGGCAACCAAACTAAATGAAATTAAAATAGAACTAGAACAAATATAAATATGAAAATAAAATGAAATATGAAAACTTCTATACACAAATGTACTAAGGACTTGACTTCACCTTATCATTTCTATGTTCATCCTATTAAGCCATTGCTAGCTAATTCCACTCAATTCATTAATCAAGACACCAAATCTAACCTCGTTACCTCTCACGAGTATCAAATGAAGTCATATGAATGAATCCCCTAATTAATATTCCTATGTAACTCGTTTACTCAAACACTCATTAAGTTTAGCCATTTAATTGGAATCAAATGTCGATAAACTCCCAACCTCACAACAACTGAAATCCTAATTGATAATTATGGACTTGATCACCTCCCGATCTCACAATATCCTAGACTCTCAATGAGATTATCTAAGTGTCGATCTCCTTTCAGACTCACAACATCCTAGACTATAGATGTGTTTGTGATTGCTTTTGAAACTCCTAAAAGCACTTTGCACAACAAAATGATGCAACTTTAGTTTTTGGTAAAGGTGAACAAAAGCACTTTGCACATAAATCAATGCACTTTTTAAGTTATTTTGAGAAGTTAGAATGTATGGCTTTTAGATTCTACTTTTGCTTATGCTTTTACTTTAAGTAAAAGTAGTGCTTCTATTAATAGCACAACAATCCCAAACTGGCCCTATGTTTCTCAATTTCAGACTATGAAAGCAATCTCTCCCAAGCATCGAAATCACAATATAAAATCATTTAACTCATTGGTCACATAAATTAAAAGCATTAAGCATAGGGAAATATAAATAAATTAAAATAGAATTTAGACTAAGAATTGACAAAATATTCAAAACATAGTTCAAATAAGAATATATCAAGTCCTAGAATAATAATTTAGCTCAACATAGAGGAATCCATAACCAAAATTACAAATTTCAAAAACAAAAACTAAAAGCTACAAAGAAAAGGGAGAAGGAAGAGAAAACTCTTTGCGGAGATGAACTTCAAGTCTTCAAATCTTCAAGAATCTCTCTCAAGCCTTCTTCAAGAATCTCCAACTCCAAGCTCCTCTCTCTATGACTTTTGTGGCTTTCATCCTCTCCAAATTGGGAACTAGGGTTTGTTTCCTTAAGAAGGCTCAAAACTCTCCAAAATGGGTAAATCTCGGCCCTCTAATTTAGATCAAGGGCCAAAAATGGCCCAAAATAAGTGTCAGCACGAGGAAGGGTGCAGCCATACAGCAGGTGCACAGGCGCTGCAGCGGGCAAAGTTCCCGATGTAGCACTCGGGCATGCGCCAATAGCTGGCCAGGCGCGCGCCAGCCCTTGGCCAAGGCTGGTCTGGGGTATTTTTCGCCACATTTTGCGCGGCGGCTTGAGACTGGAGATCCATACGCTTCAGACCATAATCACAAAGGAACCTCACCTAATCTGGTTCGAAAGAGGGAGTGTAATCCTCGCCAAAATCATGAAGGAACCTCATCGGAATCATGAAGCCACCATCGCCGCTGGATTTAGTTTGAGAGAGAGAGAGAAAATAGAGAGAGGTTGTAGATAGTGCTGGAACTTTGGACGGGCCGCCCGCGACCGCCCGAAAAGCCCGAGTTTTTGCCCGAGCCCGAGCTGCCCGAGAAATTCGGGCCGCCCGCCCGAGCCTGAATTTCACCTTGAATG